TTTCTTTCTTTTTACTTTTTTAAACATGCTTGAGAAGTTTATTTATTGTTAATGGTTTTGTTTTTTGAATAGGTAATGTATTAATGTGGCAAACCATAAAAATGTTACAGAAGAATATACAATGAAAAATTATTTTCCTTTCCATTTTCCATTTTTCTTCCTCTATCCTCAAGTGCTACTCCTTCAGAGACAGTTTAAGCTTTTAAAGTCATTTCTGTATAAATATCTATTTTTCACATGGTGTATGCATTTCTGAGTCTATGGGAATGGGCAAAAAAGACTGGGAAGTAGGGGAAAATGGAAGCCTGGGAAATGGCAGGAACACAACTTAGGAGCTAGTAATGCAGGTTGGAATTTGTGTCCCAAATCACTGAGTAACTTGATGGGGGTAGTCCTTTTCATACCCATTACCTTGAATGGATACAAACCACAGTATAAGGGCTGGATGGGTGAGAGCCCCTCACCTAGTCCACCCTGCAAGGGGAGTTAAAAAAAGGTAGACGTCCCTTATAGGCTGGATGGAGCAGAGGTTTACCTCAGGGGTGGAAATTGAGCAAGTTTTTATAGAATGGATAGAATTGAAGTATGTGGAAATGTAGGGGTGCGGGGAAAGAAAGTGAACAGACAAGAAGATGCAGAGATAGTCCATGGGGCTTGTGAAGATAATGATGATGTTGAGGAACCTCATTCTTGGACACACAGGGTAACTGATTATTTTTCTTTTTTTTTTCAATATTCTTGCCACTCACTCAATGAGTGCTCATTGAAAATTGATGATAATGGCCATATGAAAAGTCTCAGAGCTTATCTAAGGTTTGGGTTGTTAAACCCAGGATTCAAATCCGAGAGAGACCACAAAGAGCCAGCTCCGATGCAAACACACGAGGGTCTTTATTCAGGCTTGAGTCTGGGCTCACGTATGAAGCCGGCAGTGGCTTCAGGGACGAGAGCCCAGATCCAGTATGGCAAGCAGTTTTTATGCACAATTACAGAGGGAGGGGAAAGAACTTTAAACTTGTTTCTACATGATTGGATAATTTCTCCTAATGGGTATGGGGGCACTTGGGATTGGTAGGTTTTATTTTCTGGTCTGTGCAGGCTCTAGCCACCTGTGATTAACAGGGAACTGCTAAATGGGCAGAGTGGAATGTCAGATAAGCTAGGTTTAGCAAGCAGGCAGGAGGTTAAACAATGCAGAACCTACGGGGGGGGGGTTGGCTGGTGCCACCAGTCTACTGTTATCTAAGCAAAGGAATGTCCGGGAGGGGCTTATTGCTTAACATTTACACACTGCTAGCAGCAGTTGCGGAAGCAATCGGTTATTTTATGGGACAAACAAAAATTAAACTTAACAAAGTTCTAAGTACAAACACTGCAAACAAATACAGTGAACGTGGGGTAGGAATTCATATAGTAATAGTTCTCTTAGAGTTTTTTTTGAATCTCTTGGGTCTCTCAGGGTCCCTGGGGCATAATCAGTGGGTGGAACAGCAGATGGATGGAGCAGAATATTGTCCTCTTCCTTCCTTCCAGTGACACTTGATTGTCAGTAATAAAATGGGCATTCTCCTTGTGGTCTTACCTTCCAAAATTATAGAAGATTATCACTATTTATTATTACAACTTCCTCAGCTGATCAAAGAATGATACTGATTATTTAGATTTAGCAAGGGTAGACTTAGGCTTTTATAAACCAGGATCATCTGACTCTAAAGATATATCTTTCTTATTTTAGCCTGACCTGTTGTATAAGAATCCAGCATGCATTTACTTCATCTCTGAAATCCCACAATTTAATAAGAGCACTACCAAGTAATCGGTTCTGTTTCTGTTTCAGTTCTCTGCCAAGCTTTTGTTTGCATTAAGAAATTAGGATTGGGAAAAGACTGCATTGTGTGTTAAAAGAAAATTATACTCAGCACTGAGGCTTTGAATGTATAGGGAGAGGTGCATTTTGACTTTCCTTCCTTTGTAAAATGCAGTTAAACTGATATCCAGAACAATGGTGAGAAAACCCTAATTAACTTAATATATGCAAGATAGTAAAATAAACAAGGTGGCCAATCCTGTATGTCAGGCATTTATAAACTCTTTTTTGTGTTAAGTGCAGGCTTTAGTGAGATCTGGACTTCTCTTTGGTTTTCTGTAGTTGTACCTACTCCCTCCCAGTTTTGCATTTAAGGAGAAATATGCTTCCTAGATCTGGGAATCTTTTTGTCTGAAGGCCTCTGGGAGACCTCAAGATTGGGATCTGCCCCCTCCTTCCTCTCTGAACCCTATTTTAGATCAGCAGTAAAGATTTGAGGCTTTTTGCAAGCTTTCAACCCTGAGGTATTTTGGAAAACTATAATTTTGTTTGTTCACTGCTATATGCGTGTGGTTTCTTAAAACACAAGTGTGATTATTTTCTGCATCCTTTCCATAGCAAACATTCCCCTTAAGCTACAGCCTTCAAAAGTAGGTTCTCAGTGTACTTGACTTTGGAATACTTATTGAGAGTGACTTTACAAGGAATGAACTGGTTGCAATCCTGAGACTTTCTAGGTGGCTTTCAAACTTGTGATGGGGTTTATCCTCATATGTTCAGAAGCCAGACATGCCCATGCATCGCATATTTTCCAGCAAGTCATGAAGCACTGTTGAGTTATTATGAAACTTAATTTGGTGATAATGAGGCAGGTCTATAAAATAGCACCTTGGGTAGTTTTTACCTATAAAACAGCAATTTGTGGGAGACCGTTACTATGTAGCATGGACTCTGGATTTGAATCCTGGCTTTTCCACTTTTTCCCCTAGTAATTTTATTGTTTCTTTTTACTGTTAAATTCTTAATTGACTTAGAATTTACTTTGGTATAAGGAGTCAGGTTCAGGTTTAGCTGTATATTCTTTTAAAAAGTAAGTTGCAATGATTTTTTTATTGCGGTAAAATACATTACAGAAGATTTACCATTTTAACTATATTTATTTAGATCTACAATTCAGTGGCATTAAGTACATTCACATTTTTCCTCTTTTTATCTGTGTGTTAGAGGTCAAATTATTTTACCTTTCTGTGTCTCCATTTCTGCTTCTGCAAGTGGAAATAATATACTCCCACTAAATTGTTATGGGATTATCAGTTAATCCATTTTAAAAAATGCACAGAATATAGTAAGTGCTCAATAATAGTGCATGAAGACTTGTAGTGCCAGCAGCCCCATTTTCTAGTTAGAAATGTTTTTGAGCCTAGTGTCATATATCTGCCTCATACATATGCAGATGGGATGGCAATTCTTACCCGCTGAATCACCTTAGAGACCTCAAGAATTCTCATTGCAAACACTGGATAATTTTGCATCATTTTTGTGTCTACTTTAGCATGAGATTCATATGCAGTTTGAACTTCAGGGGAGAAAAAAATTATTTATAACAGATTTGGCTTTCAGATATTTTGCAAAGCAATTAATAATGAAAAGATAAAACCTACTTAGTCTTCAAGTTCAAACCATAATGCAAGAGGCTTGAAGAGGGTAGACTTTGGAATATATTCTATAAACAGTACCACTTTTTAGAGCTTTTGAGAAAAATCTCTTGTTTAAAGAAAAAATGTGAGCAACAATTATTTATTATTCATGAATTCTGGATGTGTAAATGATGCGATCAAAATGAGAGAAAGAAGAGAAATCTCAAGAGAATAAGCATTTTGCTTACATTTAAGTCTTTTAGAAATGGTATATATTTCTAAATATAAATATATTTTCTTAAATTATTTGGATAAACTGTGTTTCTACTATAGTTTCTAGTAAATAATGTTAAATGGTTTCTATTTTATTGTCAGTAATTTTATTACTTTTTATTTCAGCAAAAAACTTCCAAGTAGATCTGTAAAAATGGATGCAGAAATCCTCTGAAATAAATAAACCACTTCTTACCTTAAAATTCATGTCTCCACAATGGATTATACTATGTTCAGCTACCATCACAAGAATGTCTTTCTTATCAATGTTGCCCTAGTTGAACATAAACTTTAAAATTGAAAAACTAGGTACTTTGTAGACAGTTCACTCTTTGTTTTATATTTTTAGGCTAAGGAAAAAAAATTGCCCAAGGATTTATTTCTGGAAGGAGTCTAACTTCTCAATCGCTTCAGTAGTTTAGCCTACAATATTTTTGTTGTTTTGGGAATTGATAGTGACCCTAAGTATAACTGAAAGAATACTGACTTCTGAAGTATGTACCATGTTTGGTTCCTAAAAAGTGTGTGATGATGTAGCAATTAAATTCTGTCCCCATATTACACAGTTGGTCACAGTGTCAGCAGAACACCATCATTATCATTGAATTATGTAATAAACATGTGGGGCAGAGTGCTATAGTGAAAATAATGCTAAATTTCAGTTCAGAAGGTCTGAATTCCAGAAGTTGCCATAGCCCTTGAGCCACGGGGCCAAGTCTTCTTGTTTCAAGAGGTTGTGGTGGGATAGAGAAAGGCACTGGACTGTGTCAGCAGCTGCTGGAAGGTTCTTTCCAAGGTCATTTTTTCTCGTCATTTTTCCAGCGTGATTTCATGCATGGCCTCTCCTTATTTATACGCCAGTGTCTTCCAAGCCTGCATTTTATCCAAGATGTTTCTCATGGGCTCTAGACCCACAATCCAATGGTCAACAGACCCTCTAATAGGTTGCTCCATAGATATCTTAAGTCAGTGTGTCAAAAACTAAACTCATCATGGCTCTCCTCTCCCACCATCACCCCCGAACCTATTTCTTTTCCTGCCTTTCCTTTTGAGCAAGTGGCATGCTTCCAGGCATTCACCTATGTCAGAAGGCCCCAGATGCGCCCAGCTCTTCCTTTCTCCTCATTTCCTGTATTTAACTGATCATTCTGCCAATTCTACCTTATAAATGTCTCCCCTGGCCATTTCTCCTTTCCATGCCATCTGTCTTCACTTTACTTTGGGCCTTCCTTATTTCTCACTTGCACCTTTATAACCACTGCCTTTAACAGCTGTCTCCACAGGTCCCTGCTGAACATCATTCCCTTGTGTCTCCGCCATGATGCCAATAGTAGTTCTCAGTACCTCACCCCCTCTTCTTCATCAACAGGCTTGCCTGTTAATCCAAGGTGAATTTTCCACTTTCCACTGCATCCTGGCAGGCTCACAGATACTTATCCAGAGACTCAGCTTACAGGTCCATGTCTCTTTGAAGCCTTTCTTAACCTTGCAGACAGAGTTGAGATTTATCTATGAAAATAAACGTAGAACTCATTCATCGTACATTTTATTTTGTTTACTTGTCTCCCTGTCCTGTCAGACTCTGAGTTACTTGAGGTTATGAAATGAGTCTTATTCATGGCTTCCACGTCTGAGGATGGCAACTCCATTCTTCTAATTCCTGGGGCCAAAATTTGGAGTTATAGTTGACTCCTCTTTTTCTCTCAAACTGCCATTCAATCAGCAAATGTGGTTAGCTCCACTTTCAGACGATAGAGCCTGAATCTGGTGACTCCTCATCACTTCTGCTCTACCACTCAGGTCTAACGCCCAGGCCATCTTGCCTGGATTGTCACAGTAGCCTCCACAATGGTCCTTCAGCCCTGCCCTAGATTCTGAACACAACTCTAGTCAGAGCCTTTGAAAAGGTGACTCAGAGCCTGCTCAAACCCCTCCAGTGGCCAGTAGGTGCCAGATTTTTACAGTGGGTGAAAGTTCTACATGATTGGCTATCTCATGGCCTCATCAGCTTCATCTTCTTTTCTTTTCTTTTCTTTTTAACTTGAGTCAGGGTCTCTCTCTGTCCACCGTGCAGGCTGGAGTTCAGCGGCGAGTTCATGGCTTCCACGGCCTCGATCCTCCTGGGCTCAGGTGATCCTTCTACCTCAGCCTAACGAGTAACTGGGATGAGAGAAGCACAACACCACACCCAGCTCATTAAAAAAATTTTTTTTGTAAAGATGAAGTCTCACTATGTTGCCCAGGCTGATTTTGGACTCCTGGGCTCAACCAGTCCTCTCACCTCAGCCTCCCAAAGTGCTGGGATTACAGGCATGAGCCACCGTGCTTGCCTCTTTTTCTTATTTTCTTACCCTTGTTTCTTCCATTGAAGTCCCACAATCTTTTCTGGTGTCCCTGCTGTATGCCACCCTCTCCCGTCTTAGGGCATCTCTACTTGTTGTCACTCTGGGAGAGAGGCTCAATCCCCTCTCCGCCCCCAGGAGTCTTATGCCTTCCTCCCTTCCTTCAGCTCTCCACTCAGGTGTCACCACAGTTGTGAATTCTGTCCTGGTCACCCTGTTTGAAGTTGAACCCCCCCACGCACACTTACTAGTTCCTTTTTCTTTTTCATTTTCCTTCTTTATTTTTCTCTCTAGCACTTACTGCTCTCTAACATTCCATACGTTTTATCAGTTAGTTGTTTATCACCCCATTGGAGTATGCGTTACAAGGGCAGGGGTTTTTGCCAGTATCCGCTGTGTTGGCTTACCACTTGCACCTGTTTCTGGCACATAGTAGGTGCACAAATGTTTGTTGAATGACGACAGGGAAGAAGCTTTCACAAAACAGAAGTGCACTTCTGTCTTCATTTGAAAGTTCAAGTCCTTATTTTATCCTAAAGAGAACAAAGGGTAATTTAAAATTCCACCAGACAATGTCTGATTTCTAAGGACATATAGATGAGATGATAATTTAGGCTGCTCTGAACATTTTTGTACACAGAAGATGTCATTCATGATAAAAAAAAGTATTTTTTTATTATGTACAAGAAAATTGCTACGGATTTTCAAGTAGATTCATATAAAATTTGTTTTCTTATGTATATTAAATATATTACATGCATTATATTAGGGATATTAAATATAATACAGTAGCTTTACATTTTCTGAATCATATCTACTTAAAAATATCATTGGTAATATCCTTGACGGTTTTTTGGGAGGCCATACAATTTGTAGTGATGATTCTTCCTTTGACTTCTTAAACAATATGTTAAAACTGGCACAGAACTCCTGAAGAACTTTTGAATTTGTGCCTCATTTGAGATCATACAATTACTGATGTAAGTAATGCCTTAGGGTATCTAGTTTGAATTTATCATGATTCCTACTTTAAAATGATGACTGTTGCCCTCATTCGACTTTTGGAAAACCTGAGTAATGGGCTGTCTGGTCAGTGGAACTGTCATTTTCTCCAGTTATAAGGGAAGATTCATTTCTTTATCTTGGGAGTCTATTAAAATGTACTCATACATTTCCATCTCAAATTAGCGAGGCTCTTAGAGGGACAATAATTTTGTCTTAAATAATTAAATATCTTATATGGTCTCATGCCTAAGATTATTTGCAACATATTGTATTAAAATAAATATATATATTTGCTTTGCCTCTAAAAGGCTTTTTTTTTTTTAAATTAGGGAGACCAATTTAATATCACCAATGAGTCATATAGGTGAATGTATCATGTGTATTATAGAAGCTCTACATGCTCTTTACCTTTGGGGTAGTAGTTTAACTTTCCTAACTTTTAAATTTGCTGTTTTTAAAATCATAATAAAAGAAAATCTAATTAGTTGAAGTTTGTGTTTAGCTGAAATGTAATAGACTATTTCATGATGTATTCAATTTCAAAAGCATCTTGACAAGGATATAAATCCTGGAAAAACTTTATGGTCTGGATATTTTTATTATAAAAGGCTTTCTTTCTAGAAAATACAATTTATTTTATGGCCGTGATTTTCAGTATTTATGTAATCGTCAGCACATAACCATGCATTGCTTTATTTTTGATCATGAGGCTGCCAACAGGACTGCAGCCATAGAGTTTACAGAGTCGTTTCTCTGCCTTTATTCTGTCTCTCTTGACAGAAGTCCAGTCCTTTCTCTGGTCCCAGAATAGTAATGAAAGGTTGGGCATGTGAGAGGTCAGTGTTCCTCGGTATCCTTGGGACTCACTTTCTTTTTGTTCCCAAAATGACTCACCTTGCAGCAATTGTCAGATCCCGTAATCACTAGTGACTATTCTTTCTCTAATTACAGAGACTGTTTTTATCTAAAGATCCTATCAAGCCGCTCGGTGGCTCAGCCTGTAATCCCACGCTTTGGGAGGCTGAGGTGAGTGGATTGCCTGAGCCCATGGGTTCGAGACCTGCCTGGACAACTTGGTGAGACCTCACCTCTACAATAAATCAAAAGTCAGCCGGGCATGGTAGCGCGCGCCTGTAATTCCAGCTATTGGAAGGCTGAGGTGGAAGGATCTCGGGATCCCAGCAGGTTGAGGCTGCAGTGGCTGGGAGCGGCCACTGCACTCCAGTCCGGGAGACAGAGTGAGACGCCAACTCAAAAAAAAAAAAAAAAAAAGATCCTATTAAATATATCTAATAACTGGATAAAAGTTTATAGAATTATTTATGGTAATCACATTTCATAACACAATGGACAAAAGTAATTTTGTGGTTTATTGCTTCTAAAAAATTTTTTATTTTAAAGATGTGTGGTGCAGTTCACGGTTAGGTATACAAATGTTCATCAAGAAGGTACCCTTGTTGATGAGGTGTGCCCCCTGCAACCATGGCGGTTTCTCACTACTGCCAATCCCTTTCTTATAGTATTGTGATAATTGTTCAAGGCCTGCTTGTGAGTGAGAACATGTGTTACTCAATTCTTTGTTTCTGGGATAGATCACTCAGTACTGTAGACTCAAAAGTCCATCCAAGTTGCTGCAAACTTCATAATTTTGTTCTTCTTTATGATTGCATAATATTCCATCGTGTATATGTACCACATTTTTAAAATCCAGTCCTCTTTCAGTAGGCAGCATGGTTGGTTCCATGTTTTTGCTACTGTGAATAATGCTGCAATAAACATGCGTGTGCAGGTATCTTTTTCTTAGAGTCCCTCAGGGTATAGTCCCAGCAGGGAGATTGCAGGGTCGTATGGAAGGTCGATTTTTAGACCTTTTAGGAATTGCCACACTGCTTTTCACAAAAGTTGTACTAGGTTACACTCCCACCAACAGTGTAGAAGTGTTCCCTTTTCCCTGCATCTTCTCTAGTTATTTTGAGTTATTGATGATGGCCACATTGACTGGAGTTAGGTGATATCTCAGTGTGGTTTTAATTTGCATTTCCAATTTCCTTTTTTATATGCTAGAACCAATAAAATAAAGAAATGGGTAACTTTTAAAGAAACAACTTGACATTTAAGAGCAAGTCACTCAGAGTATAAATCTATAAAACTCTGAAGACAAAGAATCTGTCTTGTACTATGTTCAAACAGTACAAATGTCTGATTTTCATTAGGGCACTCTTCATATTCATTAATACTGGACTGATAATAAAAATTTGTGTAGCAAAGTCATTATTAGAATATACATTGATGTCTTTTGTGTGAACTTTGTGCTTTTAATTTTTTTTCAAGGAACTCAATGTTGATGGCATCTATCTCAGCAAGGAAGAATTCTGATTCAGGAGTTGGAAGTGATCATGGAGATAAGCGATTATCTGCCATCGAGATAAAGTTGGCGATCAGATTTTTTCCATCTGTGGTTCTAGATATATCTGCAGTGTTCACTGAACCCCTTTCTGGAAAGGGCACTGATGTATCTGTATGAGAATATGTGATAATGTTTGTAAAAGCAATTTGAAATCCTCTAAGTGTTAGGTAAATATTAGCTGTTGTTAGCTTATTCTGCATCCTTAATTAATGCCTCAAGAGTAGATTTCCTATCTTCTTCCTCACATTGTCTAGAATAATATTTATGATGCAATCAAGAATATTCTAGAAATTCTGCACATTGTCTAGAATATTCTTGATTGCATCATAAATATTATGAAGTGACTAAGTAGTATAGTAGTGCCTGTGAAGCACTTTTATAAATATGTTTGTTTTAAAGTGATCAAGCAATTTGGGAAAACATTGTTATATGCATGCATAAATGTTAAGGAATCAAGTGTACATTGCATTTTAGCAGTTTACTCACAGGAAATGCATTTATGATGTTGCTATAGTTTTTGTAACAATATTTCTTTTCCTGAAACTCTTAGATTATATTCTCTTCTATTCAGATAATTATATAAAAGTCTGGTTACTCATACGCTAAGAGGCCTCAAACTCTAGAGCTTCCTATAGTGTTTATAAGTAACTTTTTGTTATCTCATTTATCATCTCACATGCAGCCTATTGGTTTCCCTAAAGTCTTATATTAATAAATGGAGCTCCTTGATCCAGAGAACTAGAAAGATGTAGGGGAAGTATTAGGTACTCTTCCCTTTTTGGGGGAAGTTACTGAGTTCTTGTAGTTGCTGAGTTTTGAAACATTATAAATTTCCTTGAAGTTGTAATTAACAGGCCACTTACCCCATCTGAGGAATTCACATTTTTTCCTCTGTATGACTCCAAAAAAGCCTTTTCTCGGTGTTCTTCAGGTCTTTGAGATTTAATAGGTAGCTAAGATATTTGAATTTATTTTTCACAAAAATGCCCTATTTAAAGCAGTGTATTTAAAAATGGAATTCCTTAAAATCTTCTACTATGGAACATTTTGAAAGGAAGAGGAATTGGCATGCAGAAAAAGAAGGCCAGTGTCAATAAAAGAAGATGAGCCACTTGAAGCCACGATGGTAGTTTTCTGTGTTTCAATGGGAGAGGGGAGATACTAAATGCATTGCTTTATAAGTTGTATTTTAATTCATTCTCTTCAGCTTTATTAAAACTCATAAGCCCCCTCAAATGGGCCATTGTTTCAGAAATTACTCACCCTAAGCATATTTTCTATTAAATTAAAACAGACTCTGCTTTATCCTTTATCTCTCTTCTAAGGCTAATTAAGTTCATTAATAAAACATTACACAAAGAACTTCATTATCCTTCTGTTCTTGCTTAGTGTAAGTAGGATGCTAATATCATTCTAAAAGAGGCCAAGGAAATATTCTTTTAATTAGATGCATATCTTTGGAATTTTGCTCATTTTTTAACATGAGGGGTGGGTGGAAGGAAAAGCAACTAAAGAAAGGATTATCTTCAAGAGAGTAAAATTATCTTACGTAGCTTTCTATTTTCACTTTGTTTGGCAAAGACTTTACCATCTATGGTCAGTCTCCCTCCCCATTTGTATGTCATTGTGGGATTCAAGGATTGCACCTTGTTCTTTTTCTTTGGCTGTTGCCATTGTCCGATTGATTTAGTATTTGTCTCTCAGAAACTAACAATATGGGCCAGGAGCAGTGGCTCATGCTTGTAATCTCAACACTTTGGGAGGCTAAGGCAGGAGGATTGCTTGAGCCCAGGAGTTTGAGACCAGTCAGGCAAGGTGGTGTGCTCCTGTAGTCCCAGCTACTTGGGAGGCAGAGGAGGGAGGATAGCCTTGAGCCCAGGAGTTTGAAACTGCAGTGAACTATGATCACACCACTTGTGCCACTGTCCATCAGTCTAGACGACAAGAGTGAAACAACAATTCAAAACAAAGAAAGAGAAATTAACAACATGTTTTCCTTAAGATCAACAAGCACAAAAGTGTGGGACTTTTATGAATATTTGTTTAAAGAATGAAATGCACCCTTGTTTTCTGCCAGTTTCTAAACAATTTGTGTGTGTTTCCAAAAATAGACAAGGACAAACTCTAAAGGTCATACCTCAAGGATGTAGGAGCAAGCCACAATCACTGAAATGTATTCTTAGGGAGGCTCCTGATCCTGGAGATTTGGAAAGCTGTTCCCTAAATATACTTCATTTGTGACAGAATCATAGATTTTCTGAATAAACTTCACCAGCTAGTTTGGGAAAGGAGACCCTCTGAGAGAGCAACTCCAATTACATCGAAGTTTTATTTCAAAAATTGTACAGAACACACGTGCCTTTTAACTGCTACACTTGTTCAGCACTTTTATATATTTAATGCAGCGTCCTCAAACTAAAACAGAGAAATAAACAGAAACTTAATGTTGCATGTGAGAGACACTCTAAGTAAATGAGGTATTGTCATAGAGACTGACTACTTTTCGTGACTGGGTGCATGAAACCTTAATGTCATTTTGGTATATAAGCTTTGTCCTCAGATCTCAGAGCACCATTACCATTAAAACAATTGATTAGACTAGGGCTAATATGATAGTGTGTTTACGGTGTTTCCTTTGTTATATTGGGTATTGTCCTTTTTATTGCCTGACTATGCCTTTTAGGTTAAAAGAAGATAGGTACCTGACAAAATTTCAGCTCAAAATATATACGGAGAAGTGCATAGGTGTTAACTGCATGGATTTTCCTTAAGTGAATACAGTTATTTAACCAGCTCTCGGTTCAAGAAGCAGAACTTTATCAACACTCCTTCCACTCCCAAGAAAAACCACTTACCCTGACTTTAGACACCATGGATCTGTTTTGCTGTTTTTGAATTTATATAAGTGGAATTGACTTTCCTATCTGGCATATTTCTTCAATATGTTGTTTGTAAGAATCACAGGATGTTGCTTTATTACATAGTTTTCTCTTTATCTACAGTGATAACACTTCTCCCTTGAATGAAACAGTGCACTGTGTCTTTTTAGCCTTCTGATGAAGACACTGTTAGCCTCAATGTGCCCATGTCAAATATCGTGGAAGAAGAACAGATCATCAAGGAGGACTCGTGCCATCACCTTAGCCCTCTGAAAGGTCTGAGAATGAAGTGTGGAGAAAGTGCTTGTTTTTCAGTTTCAAATGTTATGTTTAAAATAACATGTACACAGATATGACAGTGGTCATAGTTCATGTTTATGGAACATTTCCTGTGTATCAGGTATGGTGTTCATCTGGGAAGGTAATATCATTTAAAATTCAGAAGTCGCATATACTCTAATCATCTCCATTTTATAGGGAAGAAAACAAAAGATCAGAGAGTTTGGGTAACTTGCTGTTGGTCACATAGCTGGTACTACTTAGTCCAGTAAGTAGTAGAGCTATTCTCATTTTGAAGATTTAGAGAAAACTCTTTACATTCATTCTTGGAAAGAAAATATTGATAGGGTAAATCTGTTACTTAGGAAAACGCTAGCTGCTGTAATACATAAACTTCCCAAATCTCAGTAGCAGATTGCAATCTAAATTAAGTTCAAATGGAGAGTTAATGATTGGCAGGCAACTCCCCTGTGAGTGTTGACCCGAGGACCCAAGTTCCTTTCATCCTACGAATCCATTGTCTTTAGTGCAGGGCTTCCAAAGTTTCCATGTCCATCTGTTTTAAGCCAGATTAGAAAGAGCATGGTGGTTTGCTCATGAGAGGTATTTATGGGCTGGGCCTATGAGGAGTGCTCATCACTGATAAACTAGACTTCACTCCATGGCTACATCTCACTATACATGAGGGTGGGAAATGTAGTTGAGATGTGTGTTTAGAAAGCCACTTGACCCCAACAAGCCAGTTGACCTTAATTACCTCACTTGCAAATGAGATGATTGGAGTAGGACTTTTCAAAGGCTCTTTGTTGCTTGGAAATTCTGCGACTCTGTAATAATTATCAAATGGTCACTAAACACTCTGCCTTGTGTACCTCTAGATTCCTTGTAATATTTTTCATATCTTGGTGAAAAACCCTCATTGGATTACATTATGACAATATTTTGATTGCTCCTGTTTGCTCAATGGCTATTAAAGAAAATACTGGAATTAAATGTTTACTGATTTGTGAAAGAGACTATTTCATAATGTATAATATGATACAGATTATTTCTCTAGTAGTTTGAATATGCTCTTCTTAGTGATAGGAGAGCTGTTTATATCAACTCAAACTGTAGTGTTTTGCTTTCACTTCTTACATTTAGGTATTTAGGTTTTAGTATTTCTTTTACCCGAGTTTATGATTGGAACCATATGTTGTCCAAAAATGTAAGTGTATACTTTATATACAAATATAACTACCAATTTGATAAGTCAGGTAAACACTACCTCCTACATTGTAGCATTATGCAATGTAGAAGGTAGTATTTTAGGCACATTTTTAAAATAAAAAAATTAAGAAGGAGGACCCCCCCCAAAGGAGAATTTATTTACAAAAATTGTGTATTTATTCTTGTTAGGGCACGGATAGGGTGAGGGTGGAGGGTGGAGGGAGAGGGGTGCAGCACCACCAGAACTGGCATGCAGGAGGTGTGCGCTGGCAAACCAGAGATCCAAGTAATGCAAAGAATTGCAACACACAAAGAGGTGAAAGAAGAAAATATTTATTTAAGAAAAATTCACTTCCCTCAGACAGGAAGTGGGGCTACACTCTAGATGGGTGTGGCCTCGTAGCCCCCTCAAGCTCCGGCTTAAATCCTTTCCCTTGGAGGTGTTGCAGTCAGGTAGATGTGCCTGCTGTGACTTCCTTATTGACCATTTGCAAATATCTTGGAGATCTTGGGACAGAGACGCCCTAATGTCTGCCCACATTATTACAGCCCCTAGAGAAGGGCTTGATAAGGATTCTAGTGTTCCTGTACATTCCTGAATAACATTCCTTAGATCTAATGGAGTGTGCATTTCCCTTTGTCTCTTATGCATTCCCAACCGACAGCTCTGGGATATCCTTGACTTCCCTGCAGACAGCGCCCAATTTACTGGGAGATCCAGTCCCCATTCGGACCCTGCATAACTTTTGTTATCACAAGTTTTGTGATTAGCATAACTTTTGCCTAATGCGTGAAGTCTTAGGCCTTGTAAACTCCCTTTACAAAATGCCCCGCACTAGGAAGTCTGTTTCTGAAAAGACAAAGTCAGCAAGGCTAATCTTTACCTAAAAGTATGCATTTCTCCAAAACATAGCTTCTACTTTTTCATCATTGTATTAGGATTTAAGAACAAGATGAAAAATGGCTTCTCGCTCTCGGTCGGTCTGTCCTTTCAATTCTTACATGTTTAAACTTCACCCACCTTCAAAGTACTTGCCATTTGATGCAATGCACATATCGAGATGCTTTTTCCACTACGAACAGTTTTTGAGCTCCTCAATTTTGATGCCATTTAGTGCTTCTCCCATTTTTTGTTTCACCTCTTCCACATGGACAAAACATTTCCCTTTGAGGATTTTTTTCATCCAGGGAAACAAACAAAAAAAAAATGTTGCTCAGGGCAAGATAGGGTGAATAGGGAGGGTAGGGCACATGGGTCATGGTGTTTTGGTCAAAAACTGCTGAACACTCAGTGTGATGTGGGCAGGTTCTTCATATAAATCACCCATCAGGAAACGGGCAATCACATTGAAAGAATCTCCAAAAAAAATTCACTGAAGCCAAACGCAGCCTCTCACAACAATGCTAACTGGTACTCTGATATTGATGGGGTCCTGGACCACTTACCTTGTAGGAGAAGCCTGTACTACAAGGGGCCCACCCTCCAAAAATATTTCCATTTTTGGGGGGAGTCCCCTTTGTACATAATTTATTACCAGTAAATCTCTCTCCTCCCTGTTTTAGACATGGTCATTCTGCTAGCTTGGAGGCTTAAGGTGTGGAACGGATTGGTCCTTTTTGGTCTTCAGATCAGTTAGAAGAGTTCCACATGGTGTTCCTTTTCCTTTTCCACACCCTCTGGATACAGTCTAGGTGGACATGCTCTGTCTGGGTGCACTTTCTCATAGTCTCTTCTTTTGTTGTTATGATTTGAGGCTTTGTCTAGTCCCCTCCCACACTCTTCCTTAAGATTATTTACTGCTTAAGGACAGAAGTCAGAATTGACTTTAAATCTCTCTAAAATGCTTAGCATAGTACCTGCCATTCAGCAACTGATCAGTAAATACTTGTTGAGTTTTCTTTTTTTTTTTGAGTCAAGAGTCTCACTCTCTCGCCCAGACTGGAGTGCAGTGGCACACTCCTGGCCACTGCAGCCTCAACCTGCTGGGCTCTGGCGATCCTTCCGCCTCAGCCTTCCAAGTAGCTGGAACTACAGGCGTGCACTACCATGCCCGGCTAATTTTTTGATTTATTGTAGAGATGGGGTCTCGCCAAGTTGCCCAGGTGGGTCTCGAACCTGCGGGCTCAGGCAATCCACTCACCTCGGCCTCCCAAAGCACGGGATTACAGGCTGAGCCACCGAGCCCAACACTTGTTGAATTTTGAATTTGAAATATTTAATCACATATTACTGAGGGCAAAAAAACCCCTCTTTTACATTTTCTTTTCTCCATTCCTTAAAAAAGTAGAGAAAATGTTATTTCTTTCATAAGAAATTAAGCTATAAAGAGGCCTTAACTTATTAAGTTCAGTTTGGGGCTTTCTGACTTTTAAAAAAATTTCCATTTTTATTTTTTGTCTTTTCTTCACACTTGGAAAGGAAGGGAGAATTTGAGTCATTCATATTCCTTCCTTTTTTTTGAGTTGGAGTCTCACTCTGTCGCCCAGACTGGAGTGCAGTGGCCGCTCCCGGCCACCACAGCCTCGACCTGCTGGGCTCCAGAGATCCTTTCGCCTCAGCCTTCCAAGTAGTTGGAACTACAGGTGTGCGCTACCACGCCCGGCTGATTTTTGATTTATTGTAGAGATGAGGTCTCTCCAAGTTTCCCAGGCGCGTCTTGAACCCGCGGGCTCAGGCAATCCACTCACTTCAACCTCCCAAAGGCGCGGGATTACAGGCTGAGCCACCGAGCCCAGGTCATATTCCTTCTTAATAGGGAAGAGAGAAGATTGAAGTAATTAGATAACACTTTTGTGGATCATTTATGGTTTGCTGTTCTGTTCATGAAATCATACTTTCTACATCTCTGTTTTCCTAATAGGGGGATTTCATCAGGAATTTCAACCGAAGCCTTCCCTTTTGAGTGAGAGTTACAACTCAGGAAAAGAAAGAAGCCGGTTTACTGATGGAGCAGATGTTCTCCATTTGGAATTTATGAACTCTAAGGCAAGGTTTTCAGGATTAACTAATTTTTGCTCATTTTCTTCTGTTTGGCACATTCGAAGTCAAGGTTGATGACACATATCCTGTCCAACTTGCTGTAATCTCCCCGAAGCTTTCAGAGCATCTCCTCAAAGCAGAGTGGGTCTATTTTCTGACATTAGGAGCTGGTCCCTGGCATACGTGCCTCTCCATTTGTCTGCTTATGTATATGATTTTCTTTTGTGTACAGAAATTGCTCTGTTTCCCACTACTCAGTGCGTCATACAAGTTAGCAAACCATTAGAAATGACCATTACCACGCAGTAAAAGCTAGAATAGACAATGTTTCACATTCTTTTCCAAATGTGCTAGGTGAATGCATTTCTAGGAGGATATCCATAGTATAAAGAGAAAAATAGAGACTTTTAAAAAAAATCTGGAAATAGATGTCTTTTCTTTTCTTTTCTTTTTTGGGAAAGCCCACTCTGTGGACACTTATTCCTGTACTATTGCCCGGAGGCATTGAAAGGACAGGTGAAGTTAAGTTGTCAGGGAAACCTTCATCGTCATAGCAACAAAAAGGAGAGAAAAACTAGTCCTTTACTTCATGAAGCAAGTTATCAAGGTAATATTTCATGACTTGATTAGGTGCTGGGTAAGTATCTGCTAGCCCCCTTTTTTTCTAACTCTGTTGCCCAGATCACAGTTTAGGGCAACCTCAGCCTTCTGTGCTCAGGCGATCCTTCCACCTCAGCTTCCCAAGTAGCTGGGACTACAGGTGTACACCACCATGCCCAGCTAGTTTTTTGTAGAGACATGGTTTTGCTATGCTGTCTCTGCTGGTCTTGAACTTCTGTCTCAGCAGTCCTCCCACCTCGGCCTCCCAAAGTGTTGGAATTACAGATGTGAACCACAACTCCTGGCCTTCTGCCCTTTTCGTTCAGGTTGTGGCATCCAAGAATCATGAGGATTGTTTTGGTAAAATTCAGATTCACTGTGGCTTTTGAGATGATCTCTGAGTTACTATGTTGAAGCCAGAATGGAATCTTGAAGTACTCATTCTTACTTCTTGAAGATTGTGTCCTGATAGCTGGACTCAGCCTCACTTAACAACTCTGGGTATCACCTTCAAGGAAATGGAGAGGACTCTACAGTGTAAAATTTACATGTCCCTGGTACTCTCAGGACATCTTTAAGCCCTCAGAACAAAAATAATGAATCTGACATATGTTTGTAGAAAACTATCTTAAATGATTACAAAAGTTACCTAGACAGATAAACACAGAAAGCCTTAACTCTTTATCTCTCTGGTTAATCTTTCACCAGTCCATCAATTCTTGTTTTAAATTACCTCACACTCATGCCTCTTTCTGACCATTGACACTGCTTCGGTTGGATTTCATGATTTCTCCCTTAGATGACTGAAGGCGTCCCCCTCAACTTCTCACCCAATGCTACTCCGTCCATGCATGCATGTACATGTACACTTTATTTTCTGCCACCAGACATTTTTCTTTTTCAGATAATTTTTCTAAAGTACAAATCTAATCACATTACTCTCAGGTCAGGGATTCTCAAAAGGCTCTCCCAGATTTGACCCCTATCAGCTCTGTGGGACAATTTTGTCACAAAAAATGTAGAAAATGGGAGTTTTGAGTGTATTTTATCAAGTGTTCATCTTAAGTTGAGTGTCCAAAGTAAAGTAAGAATGTGAAGAATGTGTTAAGAAGATGCCCAGACCGGGCGCAGTGGCTCAGCCTGTAATCCCAGCACTTTGGGAGGCCAAGGCGAGAGGATTGCCTGAGCCTGGGGGTTCGAGACCAACCTGGGCAACTTGGTGAGACCTTGTCTCTACAATAAATCACAAAAAACTAGCTGGGCGTGGTGGCTTGTGTCTGTAGTTCCAACTACTTGGAAGACTGAGGCAGAAGGATTGCCTAAGCCCAGCAGGTAGAGGCTGCAGTGGCAGTGAGTGTGTCCCTGCACTCGAGCCTGGGCAACAAAGAATGAGACTTCAACTCAAAAAAAAAAAAAAAAAAAGGAAGAAACTCACATTTAAGTTCTAGAGGAAACCAAAGCGATTGGTAAAATAAAGCATATTATTTCAGAAAAGTAAATTTCCATATATTCAGAGGTTTCAAGGACTTCTTGGAAATGGTTGCTGTACTCAGTGGATCTTGTGGACAGAGACTTGGAGGAGTAGTGTGAAAGACAACTTGGCAAATGTTTCCCAAGAGACAGTTCTTTTGGAATGTCGAGATGAGTGCTAATAATAAAATAACCCTAAGTCTACAACAAGTTAAAGGAAAAGTCGTGCATTGAAAATCAGACCCGGGCTTGGTATGATGGCTCGCATCTATAATCCCAGTACTTTGGGAGGATTGTTTGAACCCTGAAGTTCAGAACTAACCTGGGTAATAGAGCAAGACCTTGTCTCTACAAAAAATTTTTTAAAATTACCCAGCCATGGTGGCACACACCTATAGTCCCTGTTACTTAGGAGGCTGAGGCAGAAGGATCACCTAAACCCAGGAGGTCAAGGCTACATATTAGGGTCACACTCCCAGTGGGGCCTCCAGAATGTTAGGTCAGGCCCTCTGGGGGTGTGGGTGTCTGGTATGTGATCTGGTGATGCGAGAAAGATGCAAATCATTACACAGAAGTTAGATTAGAAAATATAGTGTACTTAGAAAGTAAATTTAAAAGAGAGAGAAAGAGGAGATTCACCTCCCCAGGGTAGAAAAGGGGACCAAAGCCAGGAAACATGGCCCGACATAACTCAAAAAGCACATGGCCACATCATAGCTTAGCAAGGCAATGGCCATAATGGCCCAGCAATAGCTGCAGTTGCTTGTGGTTGAGTCCTTTTAATCCTTTCCTTTGATGGGGGAGAGTTATTAAGGTGATTGGGTGGTGGTCTGCTCCGCATTATCACAAAGGGGCAAGTAAGCACAGGTACTGAAGTTAGGTGATGGATGGCAGGCAGATGGGTGGGTTAGTCACATGATTGCTGCCATGGTGGTAGGCTAGATGGGAGGAGACAAGGGGAGGAGTTTTTATTGCAAGAGACCTGTCAGATGTTTTCAATCAATAATCTCCTTAGCAAAAAAGGTAGTCTTATTATGTTATCATTTCTATGGCTTCAACCTGCTAAGGGGTGATCTTTGACCTTCCGCCTTTGACAAGAAACCCGAAAGTCTCCTAGAGATTATTATGCTAAACCATGAGTTGAATGGTTGGGCTGTCCTTGTCTTGTATCTGATGGAGATTTGCCAAGGGGGTAGGGTAGGCTGCCAACTTGACCTGTAGTAAAATGTCTGAACGCTTCCTAAAACCTGCCTATTGGAAATTTACCTATCTATGTCTAACCTGTGCTAGATTCAAATCATGTCAGCCTAAGCAAAAATGGCTATGCTTAGGCAAAATGTGAACTAAGTTTATTCTAAGCTTCTTGGGGTCCCTCCTTTCACTGCAGTAAGCTGTGATTGATAGTGCCACTGCACTCTAGTCTAGGCAACAGAGCGAGACCCTAACTCAAAAAAAAAAAAAAGGAAAAAAAAAGGGAAAATAAAAGACCACCAGGCCCAAATTAGGATTGAATTCCTCAACCACACTAAGTCTGTGAGAGTGTACGTGACAGCCAACAAGTGTGCCAACACAGTACCTTGACCATCAAGAGTTTTGTGCTTTACACAAGCCTATTTTCTTTTCTAAATTAGCATCTTTTACTTTTGTAACTATGATCGATTTCTGTTATGCACAATTATACTGTTTGAAGTCACCATGTATATTGAATTATCTGATACTGGGCCATCAATCCTTGGGGAAATACAGGGTTGGGTTTCTGCGAGCTTCTGGTCATCAGTTTTATTTGCCAATCCGTAACACATAACCTTGTTTTGGGTGTGTATCTGTTAATGTGGGTGGGCTGGGGCAAGTTTTGACTCCTGACGACTGAGTAACAGTGGTTCTCAGGAAACCCATGTGTTCTGTCCACAGGTGAGGTCAGAAGACGGTGATGAGCTGTTACGGATAGAAGAGGATATGCACTGGCAAACGGAGGGCATGTGAGTGCTGAGGGCCTGGTTACAAGCCACCATCCCTGTATAGTTCACTTTCCAAGCAGATTGGCAACCCTGCCGTGATAGAATTTTGATCTGCTTTTCTTTAGGCAAGCTGATAGTCTTACTTGATGAGAAGTTGCCAGTTTTCCTCTCTCTGATGCGTATTGTCATAGAATTGGGCAATACAGTGAAAGGTTATACCTCTTCCTTGGTCTTGAATTTTGTCTGATTTGAAGCTGTGGGTAGGGATGTGATTTAGAGAATTAGTTAGAATTTCTAGACTAGAGGTTCTTCCTTCCTTCCATTTGCTTGAAGAAACCAACGACTAGACTAAAAGTGATCTGTAGTGCTGGTCTTCTTCTTTACTCAGGGTCTTCTGGTTCAAGAACTGAGAAAACCATATACCTCTTACACCTTAGTTCCCAAGTCTAATAACTGTCATAACTAAGGCTTATTAAATACCGTGCACCAGGCAATGTTCTAAATATTTCACAGGCCATCACTCATTTCATCTTTACAACAGTCCTAAGAGATAAGTTCTGTTATTGTTTCCCATTTCACAGACGACAAAACTGTGGCACAGAGAAATTGATTATCTTGTCCCAAGGTAACAGAGGGCCAGCATTTGAACCTAGGAAATCTCATACCAGATTAATATTCCTTCTACTCTACTGTCAGTAAGATTTATTTGGCAAGATTTATGAGGGAGGGGATGAGTGATCTTATCAGATGATGAACCATCCCCAGGGGAATTGAGTTTGGACCACGTGGCATAGAGTAGATTTTTTATTCTCAGGATTTTAATTTTGATGATCTGGGATGTTGCATGGACCATCCATCATATGTTGTAGGATTTTTCCTCTTAGTGAGGATTTATTACATAGTTAAAAAAATTTTCTCTACTTGCAGAGGGAATTGGCTTACATCCTGAAGTAGAAAGGGCTAACCATGATCAAACCTCTCTTGCCCTTTAAAAACATTTAATGTTTCTCTCCAATCACTGTCTGTTTTGCCAGTTACTCGCTGGATATATTCTGGGATGCCAAGGAGTCCTAGCTTGATTTGTAGCATCACTGAAGCATAGAAAAAGAGATAGTTGTTTTAAAACTATAGAGAGCTTTGGAAACGCCATCCTCAATTTTATGTTTGATGTTCTCAACCCTGGCTGTAAGTAGGGATCATCTGTAGAGCTTTATAAAATGCCCAATCCCTTGTCAGACCTACTTGAGAGTATCTGCCCAGTATGGCTTTTATGTTCCACAGATACTTTTGTGGTTTATGGAGCCTGAATGAAAAACTTCTGTCCTACACTGAAGCCCCATGCTATACGAAAGTAATACAACTTACCCACAATGGTGGAACTGGGGTTGGGAGGCTCAGAAGCAGTACAGACTCACCCTGCAGAGCCCCTGTGTGAGGCTCTCTGGAGTTCAGGAAAGTCTACCATGAAACCCTCTCATCTAGTTCACTGCCTGATTGCGTACAGGTCAGTTGGGGGTTCACGGGCATCGGGATCTCCCCTGAACTGCTTTGCGACAGACCTGGGCTTCCCCGACCTGGGCTCTTCACACCACATTCTGGCATCTCACCCCACAGGGTATGGACATATCTTCATTATAATGTTGAATTTGCCCAAATCATTTTGTATGTTACATGGATTTTTGTAAGTTTGCTTTTAAGAACTTAGATGATATTTATGTTTTAGTAATTGTTTTCATTCTCATGCTTGGTTTTATGTTACAGAATAAGTTCATCCCAAGATCAGGACATGGATATAGCGATGATTGAGCAACTGAGAGAAGCAATAGATTTGCTGCAAGAGCCCAACGGGTATGCATGTCTTTCCTTGGTCCAGTTTCATGTGTAAACAATCCATACTAGGCCGGCATGGTGGTTTACACCTGTAACCCTGTAATCCCAGTACTTTGGGAGGCCAAGGTGGGAAAATCGCTTGAGCCCTGGAGTTTAAGGCCAGGTGAGATCTTGTCTCTACAAAACATACAGAAAATCTGTGGTGGCTCATGCCTGTAGTCCCAGCTACTCGGGGGGAGGCTGAGGCAGGAGGATCTTTTGAGCCCAGGAGATCAAGGCTGCAGTGAGTGGGAATCATGCCACACTGCACTCCAGTCTGGGAAGCAGAGTAAGACCCTGTCTCCAAAAAAAGCATACTAATTTATTGAGTACACTATCTCAATTTCTAAAATTTTTTTTTTTTTAGTTGGAGTCTCACTTTGTCGCCCAGACTGGAGTGCAGCGGCACACTCCCAGCCACCGCAGCCTCGACCTGCTGGGCTCTGGTGATCCTTCTGCCTCGGCCTTCCAAGTAGCTGGAACTACAGGCGTGCGCTACCACGACTGGCTCATTGTTTGATTTACTGTAGAGATGAGGTCTTGTCAAGTTGCCCATGTCTCGAACCCGTGGGCTCAGGCAATTCACTCACTTCGGCCTCCCAAGGCTCAGGATTACAGGCTGAACCACTGAGCCTGACCCTCTAAAATATTTATACAAACAATTTAGCCTCAGTCTAACTACTAACACAGTCATTTAGTTACCTGTTTTCCCAAGATCAAAGTAAAAGAGTCAAACTTCTGGGCAGATGGAAATCAAGTCCCCCTTTCTTGGCCCCTTTTTGAAACTCATTCACTGCTCATGCAATTCTTATGGGAACTTCTGATTAAATTCCTAGAAAACAAATATGGTAAAGGTACATATTTTATATTGGTTAAAATCTTAAATCCCCGATTTAAAAAAATTTAAAGAAAGCTTTTCCAAAAATAAAATAAATGATAAATTAAGTACTATTATATTTATTTCTGGTAGTGCCAGATATATGTTAACTAAATAAATATATTTCCAAGGATTGGGTTAAAGGATAATTTTTACATTTGAATTGACCTTTATCAATAACAGGGTCTACATGCAGTGGATATATATTTTTTTTATTTCTTAGCTAATGGTGATGGGATTTCCATAAACAAAATATTTTTCACTAAGGCAATATTAGGCGTCAGGTAATAACTACATGATCTACTAGAAAAATAGATCCAAAGTTTGTCCCTGGTAAACTGATGTCGTCTTAGAATATGATGAGCATGGGACTCACCCTGCAGCAGTCCTCGCTGGGTTTATGTAAAGGGTAGCTAGTGAATTTCAGAGTGCAGCGAAGATTGCATGACCACCACCACCAATGCTGTCTGGCTCTGAAAGAACAGCAGCGGGTCAGGCTGAGTGCTGCTGGAAATCTTCAGCATTTGATTTGAAAAGCGTGTCAATTCTGCAGATATTAATTGAGTGCTTCGAGTATGAGAAGATCTACAGTGTGCACCTTGGGGGATATAAAGATGGACAAGACAGCTCTTGCCTTCTGATAACCTAAACTAGAGTAGCTAGGGACTGCCTTGAGCAGTTATTTGTAATTGTAATTGATTCAAGTGTTTGAAGTGGAGGTTAAAAGTGATAAACTTGAGTAAGTGCCTAACCAGGAAAAGCTGAGATGGCTGGACTGGCCTTCCTGAAGGACAGGATATTTCACCTGGTCCTTAAATGACTGGCAAGTTCAAAGAGACAGCAGTTCTAGACTGAATGAAAAATGTAGGCAAAGGCATGAAAGTCAAAAAGAATGGAACTACGGGGCGCTGAGGTTTATGTTAGCACTTTGGGAAGCCGAGGCAGGAGGATCTCTTGAGCCCAAGAGTTCGAGACCTCTTCTCTATAAAAAAATTAGCCTGGTGTGGTGGCATGTGCCTGTAGTCCCAGCTACTCAGGGGGCTGAGGTGGAAGGATTGCCTGAGCCCAGAAGTTGAGGCTGTGGTGAGCCATGATCATGCCACTGCACACCAGCCTGGGTGACAGAGTGAGACCCTGACTCAAAAAACAAAAAGATTGGGACCAGCTTGGAAAATCTCAGGCAAAACAGAGGCTCTCCACCCTGGTGTGCTTCAGCATTACTTGTCTGACTTTTTCAAAACGCCAAGCTGTACCCATGGGGCTCGGGGTTGGCTGGTGCTTCTGATGTGCAGCCAGTACTGAGAATCTCCAGAGAGGCAGGAGTGATGCAGCGGGGTGGCCATGCTAAGTGCTGTGTTAAGCATCTGAGACTTCATTTTATATGGAAAGAGAGGCGATGATGGTTTTTAAACATGATTATTCATGTTGTTAATTCTCCCTAGTGTTTACATCAGGGGCTGGCCTAAATAGGTATGTTCAAAGAGTTGAATCCCACATCCTCAACCAGGGCAGTTAGTGTGAGGGTAGGAAACAGGAGGAGAGCCTGTGTGTGTGTTTATGTGCATGCCTATGTGTGTGTGTGGTCATGTGTGCGTGTACGTTTGTGCATGCAGGTGCTAACATGTGTGGGTATGTATAATTTTAATGTATCGGAAAGTGTCATGGCTGGTAGAAAGAACAGACTTTGAGTCAGCTAGAAACTGTTTCTAAACCCAGCTCCAACATCATTTAACTGGGGTAGGTTATGTGACTTCTCTTCACCCCATTTCCTCATCTATAAGATGGGGTTACAAGTGCCTACCTTTTAGGGTTATGAGGATTTTGAAATTATATTTATTTATTGCCAATGGGGAGGTACACTGGCAAAATCTTTCCAGAAGTCATCTTAGCATGTGTCCAAGTTCTGAAAATATATATAAACCTTTTGAGTAAAATAAAAAATTTAACCTAACAGGTAAAAAAAGGCATGAACAAAGATTTGGGGATGGAGGATGAAGGATGAATATTTTTAACAGCAAATATTTGGGAAAAAAGAAATTATCTAACAATTTGGGAATACTTTAAATATTTTATGGTTATTAATAAGATGGACTGTGATGTGACCAAGAAAATGTTTATTGAAATTTACAGTGATATTATAGAATGTTTATTATGTAATGTCAACTTTTAAAAAGTGATATACTTTTTATATAAATGCACATTTGATCCCTATTATATAGATAGAAGTAGGTTCCGATTATGCAAAAAACCTAGAAAAAATTAAGACTACAAGGAAATAAGATAGATTTTTTTTGGAGGTGAGTATTTCTAAATTATTGTACTGTAGATACTCATTGGCAAGTACTATTGTTCTTTCATGACCATTTGAAAGCAGGTGGTGATAAGGATGGGAGGGAACAGTTCAAGACCTGTTGGACTTGTCAACAGACTTGAACTCTGGTGTCTCATTATCGAGATGAGGCACATGGAAGGGTAGTACATTTGAGGAGGAAGATGTTGGGTTCAGTTTAGGACATGCTGAGTAGAATTAGAGGTGTCAGGGTAGCAGTGCCCATGGAGATGTTTGGTTCAGGGGCTTAGAGACTTAATTTAGAAAATCACTTTTAAGTATGCTGTATATAAAATAAGGAGCTATATCTATAATAAGAGGATGAGGTGTCCAAGGAAAAAAGCATGTTGTTGGGAAGGGATTGTGAGTCTAAGAGAGCCTTAAAGACCTGATGTGACAGGGAAAGGACCCGTCTTGGACCCAATCTTTATATTGTTTTCATACTTCTATCTTGTACTTTTTTTTTTTTTTGAGTTGGAGTCTCACTGTCGCCCAGACTGGAGTGCAGTGGCCGCTCCCAGCCACCGCAGCCTCGACCTGCTGGGCTCCAGCGATCCTTCCGCTTCAGTCTTCGGAGTAGCTGGAATTACAGGCACGCACTACCACGCCCAGCTAATTTTTTCTTTTCTTTTTATTGTAGAGATAAGATCTCACCAAGTTGCCCAGGTGGGTCTCGAACCCATGGGTTCAGGCAAACCACTCACCTCAGCCTCCCAAGGCATGGGATCAGGCTGAGCCACCGAGCCTGGCTTGTCTTGTACATTTTGTATCACTTTTCTGATAAAATTTTTTAATGAAGTCTAGATTGGTTAATATGTGAGCCCTAAAGCAAAAAAGGGGCAGCCTAGTTTGGTAAAAATGGCGATGACTTGGTACCCTGGGACTGGACCTCAACTGTGAGATGTGAGTGATCTGGAGAAAATGGCTCCCTCTTCTGGACCTCAGTTTCCTCATCCACTCCTGAGAAGTGGGTTGGACTGAAGATCTCTCAACTCTTCTCCAGCTCTGAAATGTCTGAGGCAATGAGTTGCGAGTTGCTAAGGATGTTGCAGAAGTCGGTATGGTGGGTGTGTGCCACATTGTGGAAGAAAACATTCCTGACTAACCTTCCAAGAAATATGTGATTTGCATCTTTATGGAGTGCTATTTTAAAATGAAATTATGTTGCAAAACTGTATATGAATTTCATTTCCTCCCTAAAATAATCCACTACTTTGACTGCTTTAGATCTTTATTGTTTATCCTAAAATAAGCTTTATACTATAACAAATCTAATTTTATAAGATAATAATAATAAAGAAAATACCCAGGTTTTGCTTCTGGCTAAGAAAGGGCTCTTCAATAGGTTGTTTATTTCTAGCTTCTATGAACTGAATATTAGTAATTAGAAAGTGTCCACATATTTTGATTTTTTTCTTTGTCTCTTATTTCATAGATCCAGGTAGTTTTATTATTTTATTTATTTATTTATTTTAGTGAAGTCATTGATTGAAAGATAAAATTTTAGAGGTTTACCTTTTATGCATCTGAATATTGTGGTCTGGTTTTGCTTTTATCTTGGTTTCTTCTATCAAAACCTCCCAATCATTAGTTTGATGGCATTTCCATAGGCATGTATAATATGAAAGCATGCCTATCCTTTAAAAGGGCATTATGACTTTTATATAACTTACAGAAGTTCAGTACTTACCCGGCAGGGGAGATACCATGATCTTACAGAAATCCATGGCTTTATAGATCTTTTTAAAAGATTTAAAATTAAAAACCTTACCTCTTAAAATTGCAGAAATTCAGAAGCTATATGTAAGCAATTTTAAAAGTAAAAATGCATAACAAGTTATTTATGAGTTATTTTTTAAGTGAGAGTCTTGGTGTATATTAGAAATATCTTCCTATTAAAACCAAATGCCATTGGTATGTAGTGTAATGTAATAGTACTCTTACCAAGTTTATTTGCTTCTGTAAATTATTAAAGTTCCAGAATAACATTTGTGTATACGACTATAAAAATTTTGGTTTTTATTGTAGATTACTATTATATTGCAGATAAGCTGGATTTCAATACCAATAGCAGATAGAAAATTCTATTTGGGTACATGGTGGGAAAATGCCATGTAGTTAGATATTTATATTATATATCTTTCATCATTTTATCCTAAAGATAAATATCACTTTTTCATATATTAAAAATTTAAGCTGAATATGACCAATAGAATTTATTAAAAATAAAAAGTTTAGCTAGGTGTGGTGGCTCATGCCTATAATCTCAGTACTTTGGAAGGCCAAGGCAGGAGGATTTCTTGAGTCCAGGAGTTCAAGACCAGCCTGGGCAACATAGCAAGATCTCATCCCCATACACAAAAATAAAAAAAATTGACCAGGTATGGTAGCATGTGCCTGTAGTTCTAGCTGCTAGGGAGGCTGTGGTGGAAGGATCACCTGAGCCCAGGAGATCAAGACTGCCACTGCATTTCGGCTTAGGCAGCAGAGTGAGACTCCAATTATAAATAAATAGATAAATAAATAAATATGTAAATGACTATTTAATAAAAATGTTGATATCTTTTTTCCTACCCTTTAGATTAAGCACAGATATTACAGAGAGAAATGTTTTAAACCTATATGCTATGAGATCAGATGAAGCCTTAGAATGACAAGATTCTGCACTAAAGTACATTAACCTTTTATAGCAAAGTATATTTTCTCTTTTTATATGTAAGTATTTATACTTTAAATTTAACTTTATATATATTTTTTTCTTTCTTTTTCCTATAGTGGTCAAATACAGCTGGAGACATCTCTGATGTGTGAGGCAAGGGTGCTCTTGGACTACCTGGAGTTCTGGGTAGTATTTTGCTACAAAATACTGGCCACCATATTCTATAAAAATTTATCAGAGGTTTAAACTTCTTTATTACAGAGGCCAATATTCAAGTTTGTTCAAGGCACATTTTTCAATGTGTTTATATGCTTTAACCCTCATTAATTCTGCTTATCTGTTATGCTTCACCTTCCATTAAAGATGAGAGCTATTTCTCTTAGATGCTCTAAATTTTTTTATATCAGACAGTCTTGCCCAGTCAAGCAATGGCAACTAAGATACATAGGAAATCTACTCTGTGTCAGAAACTGGAGGGAGGACCAGTCAATATAGATTTTAAAGCCAAGAATGAAGTCTGTGAATTGGCCAGATGAAAATGTACTAGAAAAGTTCTGATAGACAAGAACAAAATGATCTGAGGATGTCTAGGAGGATTAAAAGAAGGTTATGAAAAGAAACTGGTGAAGGTATTTGAGGACAGGGTAAGGATGAGTTAGGTAGAGTTACATGAGGTGGCTGTCCAAAAAACAGTTTTAACATAAAACTAGAGATGAACTTAAAAGGTTTCAAGGAAATACTATGTTATCTACGGGGGGCCAGCCCCTGCAGAGAGATTTAGAGGGTCCCTGGAAGATGTGGTGGCATCGGCGATTATTCTGGAGAAATAAAGAGAAAGAGAGAGAGAGAGAGAGAGAGAGAGAGAGAGAGAGGGAGAGATGGGGGGAGAAAGAAAGAGACTAGACTCTGTTTAGTGCAGAAGCCGTTTAATGGGATAAACCATAAACCTTTTATCCTAAAGTTTCACAGGCAAAATCACAAGATTTTCAGGTGAACACAAAGCCAGGTAGATGAGGTACATCCCCCCACCCACCAGATGTTTCCTCAAGCATGAGGAAGGACAATCCCAATATTATTTCATTGTTCCTTATGCTTGGTTAATGTTCCTCACAAACAATACAACAATTCTAACATCATAATATTCTAATAATCAATAACTTCTAAAACTTATGCATTCCCAATACCTAATGACTGACTTAAATCCTAATACCTTTCTATTCTGTGCTAATTTTACCTGTACTATAAAAAACTCTTAATTATAGCTCAAATCAGTTCCTAAAGAATGTGGCCCAGTCCAAAGATCACTCTGGGCCATTTCCAAGAACAATTGATTATGATCTCTTAACAAAATGGCTATTCTAAAATCTTATGTATCTATCTTAATTTCTATAAAAGTTTCTAATTCCTAATCCTAATATATAAATCTGATCATCAGCAATAAAGCTTCTAAAATAAACCCCAAATATAAACTGCAAATGTACTAAAGCCCAAACCGCAATTAGTAGAAAGTGGGAACAATGAAATTTCTAAAGTTAGTTGTATTCTTATAAAACCTCAAAGTATCATGTTTGATCATGCTTGAACTAACATAATTCCCTGACACAGCATGACCTATTCTACAATACTTTCTATGAATAAAATAAATTCAGCTTCTTATAATAAGTAGAAAAAACCTACACTAATTGTAACTAAAAAACCGGTTTAAAAGAACGCAGCCCAGCCCAAAGTGGACGCTGGACCCTTAGGAATGTGGCCTAGTCCAAAGTTCGTGCTGGGCCATTTCTGGTAACTCTAGATAATCACCTATGCCATCTAAAGCTGGAAACAACTCTCTAAATGTATATACTAATTCTACAAATATACTTTTAAATCTTATAAAGAAACTTGTATCATATATAAGGCTCCCAAATGTGACCCGAGTTTGAACTGTGTTAAGTTTAAAGCCGAAACCACAGTCTGTAAGAAACGGGAACAGTGGATCCCTAGAGTCAGTCATGCCTGTCATACTCTCAGAACTTCATGCTTAGATCATCAAAGTCCCTGCTACTGGGTCATGTCAAACAACAAAGAAGGGAGGAGGGAATGGGCCTTCAGCTCCTGAACCCAAGCTGGTGGTCTCAGGGTCCGCAGCCCGCCTGGATCCCTAATGCTCAGGCGGGCCTCCACAACCAGCTCCCAACAGTTATCCAGACATAAAGAGGTAGGTTTGAACTGGTGATTTGGGAGTGGAATTTAGATTACTACCTTTTTCATCCCTTTCTAGTGAATGGGTTTAGGATGGCTAATTCAGTTACCAAGATTATATACAAACCAATGTATGCATCCCTAAGGTATCAAAACAATTCCACACTCTTAATTAAGTCACTGTATTAAAGACATAACAAAGAACTGCAAAAGGAAAAGCCATGTGCCCAGAGTATATGGCTTCATTGTTAAGCTCAGTAACTTGGAATTCTGTTAGGTTTCAGTCTCAAAGACTTTTTAACTCTGGGCAAGTCAATTAACCTCTCTAAAACTTTATTTTCAGTAAATTGGGATCATAACAATGCTCATTTTATTATTACTATTTTTGAGTTGGAGTCTCAGTCTGTCACCTAGACTGGAGTGCAGTGGCATGCTCACAGCCACTGCAGCCTCAACCTGCTGGGTTCAGGCAGTCTTTCCTCCTCAGCCTTCCAAGTAGCTGGAACTACAGACTTGCCTCCACGCCTGGCTAATTTTTTTTATTTGTTGTAGAGATGAGGTCTCACCAAGTTACCCAGGCTGGTCTCGAACCCCTGGGCTCAGGCAACCCTCAGGCAAAGGTGAACCCTTCGCCTCCCAAAATGCTGGAATTACAGGTGTGAGCCACTGTGCCTGACCTAACAACACCTATTTTAGAGACCAAATGAGAAGATTCAAGAAAGGTCTCACAATACAGGGTGCTTAAGCATTAATTATTAGTCTATTCCGTTACTGGTGTGGTCTTTAGAACCAAGGTAGCACCTTTCCCTGGGTGGGTACCTCATTGAATTACTAAGGAATGGTATATTAAGAAGCTTTTATTTACAGGCTGCCCTGGACCCAATTCATCAAACTCTCCATTTGCGATGAGTTTGGTTTCATGCAGACTCATGGTTTTTAGCTTTTTATTTGAAAATAATTTTAAGCTTATAAAAGATTGAAAAAACATTATAAGTTTCTACAAGTTGCCAAAAATTGCAATGTTGGAGCCAGATTTCCAATTATTAAAACTTTTACCATGTTTGCTATATTATTTGTTCTTTCTTTTTCTTCACACGCACATAGTTCCTTTTTTGAAATATTTGAGGGTATATTTCATACATCATAGCGCTTTTACTCCTAAACATTTTAATGTGTTTTTTAAGAATAAGTATTTTAGCCGGGCTCGGTGGCTCAGCCTGTAATCCCAGCACTTTGGGAGGCTGAGGTAAGAGGATTGCCTGAGCCCGCGGGTTCAAGACCTGCTTGGGCAACTTGGTGAGACCTCATCTCTACAATAAATCAAAAAATTAGCCTGGTGTGGTAGCGCGTACCTGTAGTTCCAGCTACCTGGAAGACTGAGTGGCAGAGCCCAGCAGGTTGAGGCTGCGGTGGCCAGGAGCAGCCACTGCACTCCAGTCTGGGTGACAGAGTGAGAATCCAATTAAAAAAAAAAAATAGATATTTTATCTTACATAACCACATTTCAGTTACCAACTTTATAAGTTTACATCAACAACTTATTTTTGCCTAATATATCACCCATTCTCCAAATTTTTCAGTTGATCAAATAATGCTCTTCAGAGCATTTTTTTTTCCTTTCAGTGTAAAATTCAGTTTATTGGCAGGTATTGCATTTAGTTGTCAGGCATCTATCTATAGCCTCCTTTAATTTGGAATATTTCCATAATCTTTCTTTGGTTTTTATGACCTTGAAATTTTGGAGAACATTAACCTCCCTCTTTTTAAATGGAATACTGCTCATGTTGCGTTTGTCTGCTGTTTCCTCATGATTAGGTTGAGGTTAGGCATTCTTATTTGGTATACTGCACAGGTGATGTTATGTCCTCCTCAGGGTATCACATTTGGGGGGCACAGGATAGCTATCTGTCCCTCAGAGGTGATATTAATCACCCAGTTGATGTATAGCCCCATTTCTCCACTGCATAGTTACTGCTTTATTTTTTCCTTGCAACTAATAAGGAGTCTGTGAAGAGAGTTCAAGAGTATCTTATTAGAGACCCATTTTTGACTCTAGTAAAATAGATGGTAATCTTTGTGCAGGAGACACAAAACTTCTAGAAAAAAGATATCGCCACTTCATTTCCATTGTATTATTAAATGGTCATGCCAATAATTTTGTCTCCTATGAAAATGTTACTAGTCTTGATTTTTTTAAAAAGAGGTCTTGCAGCCGGGTTCGGTGGCTCAGCCTGTAATCCCACGCTTTGGGAAGCTGAGGTGAGTGGATTGCCTGAGCCTGTGGGTTCAAGACCGGCCTGGGCAACTTGGCAAGACCTCATCTCTACAATAAATCAAAAATTAGCCGGGTGTGGTAGCTCATGCCTGTAGTTCCAGCTATTTGGAAGGCTGAGGTGGAAGGATCGCCGGAGCCCAGCAGGTCGAGGCTGCGGTGGCCGGGAGTAACCACTGCACTCCAGTCTGGGCGACAGAGTGAGACTCCAACTCAAAAAAACAAAACAAAACAAAACAAAAAACAAAAAAGAGGTCTTGCTACATGCCAGGCCGTGTACTTTGTATTTTATGTATGCTATCATTCTTTCATTTCTTCAACAAACATTCAATCATTGCTTACTGTATGTCAAGTACTATTCTGGACCCTGAGGAAGTAGCAGTGAAAAAACAAAGGTCCAATGCTTAAGAGTTTACATTCCCCATAAGGCATAAGTGAAAGGTAGGAGTTATCATGCCCAGTTTATATAAGTGCAGTACATGAAACTTACGAAGATCAGGTGATTGGCCAGGTTACTTAAGTGGGGCCTGATTCCATCAAACTTTTTCTTAAGAGCAGACCTTGGCAGAAAAAGAGAAGCCATAATACTTAAGTGTTCATGAGCAATGCTTCCAGGAAATTGGGTGGGTATGGAAGGAATAGGGGAGGGGTATATAGTAAATATAGATTGAACCTAGTTCATGGTTTTCTCCAGGTC